GTATGGAGAATGTATGAGAGGGGCCATACATGGGAAAGAGATTAAGTGGGAGGCTGTGGAACTCAACGTGGGAGAAGCTGAAAGGTGGACAGTGAAGGCCGTGGCAGAGAGGGATGGAGAAGGGGTCCCAAACTCGAGTTAGGTGCGCAGACCCAGGGGCAGGGCAGTGCTGCACCTGGCGGTTCGGAGCCCTAACATTCAGCAGCAGAAAGTCTGAACACAGACATGCAGGGTGGCCAGGCTTCCAAGTGGAACCACCCACACACTGTCAGGAGTCGGCAGCTGCCCATTCTAACAGAGCATGAGGAACAGGAACCGGTTCCAGAGATATTGGGGACGTAAAACTGGGAGGACTTGCTGAGGTACAGCGAGACCAGGTCGGGGCTTGGGGAAAGGTAAGATTGAGAGAAAGAGTAGAATCAAGGACATCTCCCAAGGTTCAAGTGTGAGCAACAGGGTAGAAGGGCGGCATGCTTCCGAGCTGGAATTGATTGAGGAAGAGCACGTATGGAGGTAAAGGGACCGGGAACTCAGGTGCAGGGCGTCTTATCACCCAGGATCGGTCTGAGGGGAAAACACTCTCGCACAATGCCTAGCAGGCACTCGATGTTCTGTGGTTAATTCTCTTACTGTAATTATTCGCGAGGGGCATCCCATTGGAGACACCAAATGCCCTCAATCAGCAAAGACCCGATAATTCTCTTAGAGTCAACAATCATACTTTGATTTTCTCCAAAGGAAAATAAATACTGCTTTTGAAAACCCTGCCTTGGTGATAGAAAGATGGGGTAGACGCGTGTATGCCTCAAGCAACATCAATCAAACTTCCTGCCAAGTGCTGATTACAAGATCTTCGTTTCTGGCAGGGACATGCAAAGCAGAAAGAGCGCAGCTGGGTTTTCAGCTCTAGGTGGATGCCACGAGCTCTGGAAATTGGAAAACGTGTCTTCTGACTTGGAAGTTGTGGTGATTTGTCTGGAGCAGTTAGAGGGAAAATTAATGCAAACCTTCTTTTGCCGCAGCACCTCATGGTACTGTCTGCTCAGTAAGTCGCCTGGCTGTAGCTGTTTGGTCTTTGCGAAGTGCCAGCCTTCAGACCAGGGTTGTTTGGTGAGCGATTTTGCTCCCCGATTTCTGTACCCGTGGCTTGATTTTGCTAGCGTAGGAAAGTAGCAAATGGGTTTTTCTTAGTTTGCCTGGCTACACAGTAAAACTGCCGGCAGTTTGAAAAATACAGGTTTTGCCTGTATCTGCTCTGTCTGCCTGTCCACCTGGTGGTGTTGACTTTTTTAATGACTTCTGCATCTTCAGTGTCCTTTGGAAACCATTGGTCTGACGGTCGGGGCGTTGCCTCCTGATTTCAAAACTGTGGATGCTCTTGTTGCTTTAGCCAGTGACTTGCTTGCTATACGGCCTCGGGTGAGTCACCTCATGGGTATGAATGTGCATTTCCCTGCCTGTGAAGTGAAACAGCTTCACCTCTCCCACTCCATGGGGGTGATGAGAATGCAGGGAGCTGATGGCTGGTGCATAGGACGTTTCATGTGAAAGGCTGGAGGGACGGACAAAGGCCTGCTTGTGTGCCTTGGTCTAGTGTCCAATGCCAGTGTCCTCTGAAATGCAAACTCACTTCCATGACTTTCAAGTGTCACTGGGCTCTTTATTCAGATACTCTGTGCAAAGCAGCTGGACCATTGTGAATAAACCAGTTTGTTTGTTTGTTTGTTTTCATTAAAAGGGTCAGGGTCACTCCTCAGCATCAGCAAACTAGAAGAGGCAGCCATGACACCACTAGAGGTCACAGTCCCACCACTTGTACAGGTGACAGTCCCCTTCATGGGTCATGTTTGGAGACCCAGTTTCCCGGAGCAGGGAGGAATCCAGGACACTCAGAATTCCTGCCACAATCACAGTGGCATTCAGGCTCCTGCTGCATACACTGGGATCTCCAGCCACAAGCGAGAGTGGACAGGCATCGCCATGGAGCCAGAGGGACAGCCCTAGTCACCAGGCCCGAGGCGCGGATGCTGTGTGGGAAGTCTGAGGAGGGACCTGAAATGTGCCATCAGGTGGGGTGAGGTGCAGAGGCTGTGACAGGCTTATGGAGAGGTGGCCACTGGAGGCCACCCCCGCGCCAGGGGGAGGAAGCCGCGAGGAGAATCCAGAGGCCGGTGGGCACAGGAGCCCTACAGAAAGGCAGCTGCATTTCCCCGGGAGCCAGAGTCTCTCCCGTCTGTCACCACTCCCGGCTGTGGGGCCACCACGCCCCATTCGCTCTTTGCCATCCAAGTTTGTTGAGTCTCCCCATACCCTTGAGGTTTTTAACAGGCAGGGGGCTGTATGAAGTTGACCTTGTTGAGTGGCAGGGAAAGGAAGGACCGTGTCTCTGGTTGAAGTGCCCCAGGCATTTCAGAGGAAAATACCACATGAAGTCAGAATCTCATCGTCCTGGCCGGGCAGGGGTCTTCCTCTCTAACTGTGCTGCCGGCCAGGTTTGCCGGCCTCGCTGTGCCCCTGGTGTCAGTGCCCTGGTCTTCGCTCCCCAGCCGGGGACATCATTCAGTGGGGGCAGGGGAAGGGTTTCACTGAGGGGAAGTGGTGGGAATTAGGGGGGGATGAAGAAACTCCCCAGGGGGCATAAACTTTGTAGTGGAAAGAAGAGTGAAGAATCCAGCCCAGGAGAGGGGCAGAAAGAAAGATAAAGGGGTGTCCTTGTGGTAAGAAGAACGGTGACCCTTTCACTGGAAATGCATTTGGGAAGAGATTTTAAGATGACATCTTCCATTAGGGAAAGGAGTCATTGTCAAAGAGTACGTACTGTGGGATTCCGTTGATCTGAAATCCAAGAACGGGCAAAACTAGCTGTCGCTGATGAGAGTCAGAATAGCGTGGGTTGCGGGGAGCAGGCAGATGTAATGGGCAGGAGCACCCCGGGAGCACCCAAGGGCTGCAGGCACCCTGTGTCTTGGTCTGAGTGAGGATGGCCCAGGTGTGTTCGCAGGTAAAATGTCTTGAGCTGCTGACAAAGATTTGTGTAATGTTGCGTACATAATTTATTCCTCAGGGCAAAAGTGTCAAATGAATCTCTTGTTTCTGCCACACTGATAACTGTGGCCTTAAGACATAGGACATCTGTGATACTCAGCGGGAAAGAGATGCTACTGGTCTTCAAAGTGGACAGTAGAGCATTTATGGGCCAATTACAGAGCCGATTAAACTGCACCCAGCAAAAGGGCCATGGGCTCTGGGGACAACCCAGGTCCAAGTCCTGTTGGTCGCTTTTCCTGTGGCTGTCCGAGCCAGCTATAGGTCTCACTCCAGCGCAGTTTCCTTCTCTGAAATGTGGGTGATAATATTACTTTCAACTCCCGTTTGGGAGGTTTTATGAAATAATGGACATAGATGTCTTGCCAGATACCTGAAATACAGCTCCAAAATTATGTTTACTATTAGCAGAGAGGAGATACATGTCCACATAAACTACAGTGCTAAAGTATTCCAGTCCTAGAATCAGATTTCTGTTCTAAAATATTCCTAGGAATAAAGGTGCGAAAACTATTCCTTTCCAAGTGCATATTGTTAAAATACATTCAACTATTAAAATTTATGTAAATTACCTGAAATGAAATGCATTCTGCCCCATAGGATCTTGGGCACATTACTTCACATCCTTGGGTATGTTTCTGTATAAAACGGGAGTGACCGTGCCACTTTCATTAGGAGTATTGTGATGATTCAGTTTGTTAAAATATGTAATATGCTCTGCAGAGTGCCTTGATACATTGGGTTAAATGGTTCATTTTGGCAAATATTTCAGTAACGCCTAATGTAAGCTAGATATTATTAGTTCTTGTGAGTTACGAAACAGTAAGGATCCTTGCCTTCAGGACGCTTCCGGCCTAGTAAGAAAGACAGGTGTGCACATTTATAAAACAGCATGGCACATGTCACCCTAGTGCGAACCTAAGATGCTGGGGGAGGGCGTGGGGGGCTTTGTGCTGCAGTGCAGTTGTCAGTCGAGAGTCTGGGGATGTCGGGCGTGCCTACATTTACAAAGGGCCTCGTGATATCAGAAAATAGCAACTTGAGGCCACCCCGTGGTTGAGTCAGTGGCCACGGGACTACTTCTGCTTTGGAACCACAGACTTATCTGTACCCAGGAGTGTTTTGAATCGGAAGTGGATTCATCGAAACGGCACTGTGGAAAGCACTGGCAGCGAGCCGGAAGGGGCACGGCATGGCATCCTCCATAGCAGGACTCCAGCGGTTACCCACCGGCTCCTTCCAAGGCAGATCTCTGGCCGGAGGCCGTGTCTGTGCGTAAGAAGGAAGGGTGCGTCTTCCAGGACAGTGTTGAGTCACGTCTACTTTGAGTGTTTGATGAAAGCCATGAACTCTTTCCAAGGAAGAAATCGACTCACAAACAAACACAATAACCATGGCAGTCTGCAGCAAGGCTCCCAGCCTCCTGAAGTTCAGGCTGAGTGAGAGCCGCTGTTTGGGAAGGTTCACATGGCTGCACCTTCCCCCCTCTCTGGAGAAGCAGTAAATATTGGCAGCTTCACTTACATCCCCATAGTAACACCGATGACTCTCAGATCCCTTCTGAGGAGCCCCCTGAGTGTGTGTAACCCTCTCTGTGTCTCATCCTACCAGACACCTCCCAGGGCACTTCCGTGTGAGACCGCTGCAAGGCGAAAGGCATAAAATAAAAAACAACTCAAAATAATCTAGACCCTTCACTGATGTTTAGCAACCTCTTTTGAGAGTGCTATGTCACAGGTCACACTCGCTTCTACTATCACTGTTAAGTGTACATGGATTGCCATTTTTACTTCCCTGACTTAGAAATGAGACCAGTGAGATAGGGCATTGCACTAACAAGAACTAATTGTTTCTGCCTATTTGTGAGTTCTTAGCACATATTTCTAAGGCTCAAGTCTTCTTCCATGACCTCCCTGAGGGCGTCTGATGGGCTCTTCTGTCTCGTATCTTATCAGCAAGTTCCTGAAGATCCAGTGCCTGGAGGATGGGACCTGGGAGCGAGGCAGCTGCGTCCCAGTGGTGTGCGAGCCCCCTTCTCCCGTCTTCGAAGGCATGTACGAATGTACCAATGGCTTCGAGCTCGGCAGCCAGTGTGTGCTCAAGTGCAACCAGGAGAGTGAAAGGGTAAGGATAACTGGGACCTTTTCGGGATAAGGTTGCGCCCTAGTCTTGATGGCCAATCCAGGAACGTTGAGTAGAAGTGATATAAATGAATCCCAACAGCAGGGCCTTACTAAGCTGGAATTCTAACTGGGGTATTGATACTATTTGACAGGGGCATTCAGAAGATACCATGTTTTGGGGATATTCTTTTAGAGCTTTCTCTTGGATAAGAAGGAAAACCTGATGGCTTGGGTACCTGAATAACTTCCCCCAAAATGCTGGGGTTCTGATTCGGCCATATGATTTCCTCCCCCAAGCCGTCACTGACCTGCCGTGGCGGGGAATGCTTGATTGCGTTCTGCCGTCGCACAGAGCCCTGAGCAGATGCGTGCATTCCTCGACAAAGGCAAAGCTGCAAGCACTGCCCAGCCACGATTCTCTCTAGGAATTTGGCAGGAGAGATCCCCAGGGAAAGCCAAGCAGTCTTATCATGGCTCCGTGACTAAGATCGATTTTATTGTAGCATCTTTACAAGCACCACATGCATGCATGAGACAGGCAGAGACCAGTGGCCTTGACTGCTCTCCTGGCACACGTCTGTCTCTCAGTGTCCAGCACTCCCAGATAAGTGCTGCTGGACAGAGGCCAAACACATCTGCCACAAATACGACCAGACATCAGGCACCTCTGTCGGCACGGGTTGCCGAACAGCTCACGGAGTTGGCCGGACGAAGGAAGAATTATTCGTCTATAATTCCCGAATCTCAGTGTCTTGGGTTTTGTGAGTCAGTGCGGCGCTGTGTGCCCTGCACCTAGGGTCCCTGTGGTGTCGGGGACCTGGCGCTGAGAGCCACACAAACTGGCGTGCACGCAGAGAAAGGCAGCAGAGTTCCGGTGACCCAAGGCCGCTGTGCTGTGCCCGTTCAAGCAGAAAGGCACAACGTACCGTCAGAGATGTGACTTGTTTTTATGGGATCAAACTCATCTTGAATCGTCTCATATTTGCCACAGATGGCGTTTGTATGACAGTTTGGACGGATCAACGCAAAACCCCATTTGGAAAAAAAATCCAAAAATATCTCAGAATGTGTGGGCTACGGTTCATAGCTCATCCGATTTTTGTGGCCAAAGGAAAACACATTGTGAATGAATTTCATTAATGACAGAATTTGTCATGAGTCCTTTACATCAAACCAGCAAAAGAAGTTGTCTTGACTTTTACTGGTCGGTAACAACATGGTTTATTATTTCAGTAATGTGTTTTAGTCGTAAGTTCTAGAAGGTGGAGAACAGTGCCATCTGATCAGACCACTTGACCGCAGGCTAAATAGAGTTCACAAAGCAGTAACTCAGTGTCCTTCACCTTTACCGTCCTAGCTTCCCATCCTGTGCACGAAGGAGGGACGGTGGACCGAGGAGTTCAAGTTGTGTGAGCAGCTGCAAGGGGAGTGCCCCCCACCCCCCTCGGAGCAGAATTCCGTGGAGTACAAGTGCGAACAGGGATACGCCATCGGTGAGTTCAGGGGGAGATGCCTGATTTTGCTCCAAAGCGATCTTTTTATCAGGTCGGTCTGGATCTCAAATCAGATCCACGGTTGTCCCCGAGGAGAGAATGGAAGTGTGAGTGGGTTCTGAGCTGCTTCCGTAAGATCACAGTTTGTGGCAGATTAATTCCTTCGAGTCTTCCACGTGTGCTTGTGGTTGGTGTGGCTGCTGAGCCACCTGCGTGGTGTCTGGTCACGTTGCCCACCTCACTGTGGCTGAAAGTGGGCGAGTTCGGGAGGGAGTTGCAGTTCCAGTGGAAGAGGTGGGGATGTGGAACCGCACCCCCGGCCTGTGCTGGGCTCCCCCACATTCCCTCTGCAGAGCAGCTGCTGTGGGAGCTCCTGGAAGGGATGATCCGAGATCCCGCTGGCTGGCGTGGCTCTTCAGCCACCCTTTATGGGGCACCAGGCTCTGGGTCTCTGGGCAATTTCCTAATCAAGTATCAATAATTGCAGTTAAAGGTCTCTATGGCCAGAGCTGACTTACAGTGATGTTGACTCAGGTTTGCACTGGCTGGAGCAAAGCATCATGGGAAAGTGATGCAGGGGGTGGAAAACCTTGTGCAATTAACTTTAAGTCCTGACACCTACAAAGCAAGCAGTAGTTTTTATAAGTCATTCTAACTTGTGTAATGCCAGTGGGTGTAATTTGCATTAATGAGGAAGCTAGTTAGCTTCTGAGGTGGCTCTTGCCCATCTTCAGATTGCTCCTTGCACGGAGGTGCCTTGAGGTCAGGCTTGGGCAGTGGGGTGCTTGGACTGTGCCTCTCAAGTAGTGTTTCGTGAGCAACTCTCATCTCCCCTTCTCTGACCTCTGGATTAGAATGTCATGCACTCACACATACGGAGTCCTGCAGAGTCATGTAGCTTTTGGGTTATTACACAAATTAGCAAAAAAAAAAAATTGAAACAGGTAGTAAGAGCTGTAAAGAAACTTGGAGATCATTAATGTATAGTTGAAAAAATAGAAAACCCTACTCTATGCTTTTTAAAAATAGAATTTTGTAAGACACTTGGACTCTATCTACCAAGGAATGGAGCAAGATTTTCCTTCAAGAACCCAATATACAACTAAAATCTCTGCTCATGATTTCCCATTGTTTCTTCTTTTAATCACCTGGTTTTCATGGCTACTGGCATTGTGATCTTCAGTGCAGACATCATAAATCTGCCTTCATAACTTCCTGTCCCAGCCAGTAAAGTGCGTAGGTAGTAGTAGATGCTGCAGTTACAAGCTGTAGATGACCCTATAAGCAAGAATGATAGTAAATGTACTTAAAGTGCACCGACCAACCAGGGTAGACTGGCTAGCCAGAGTTCCGGCGTGGGGTGTGGAGGTCATGCGGAGATTCAGAGATCCCCAAGAAGTCCTGGACCAGAAAGAGGAGGGGTCAGCGGGAGCACGGAGAGTAAACTCGGGGACAGAGGCTCTTCGCCAGTCAGCATGGGAAGCATCTTTACAGATGCACAGAAGATGAATATCGGCCCATAACCATGATATAGGTGACCCATAGCACAGGAAGGAAGTGCTTGTGACAAATCAAAACTATTGGTTCCAGGATGAAAGAGACTGAGAGCGGGGAAGTTCAAGTGTCTGCTCTGACTAAATCTGTCCCTGCAGGTGCCCTGTGCTCCGCATCGTGCATCGTGCCCCCGAGCGACCCCGTGGTGCTGCCCGAGAATGTCACTGCCGACACCCTGGAGCACTGGATGGAGCCCGTCAAAGTCCAGGTGAGCAGAGGGGCCATTTGCTGTACCAGGAATGCGGCGGTCTGGACAGACAGCGCATTCCCCGGAGTCATTTCAGAGGCTTTCAGAACATCCTTAAAGCAAACAATGACCTGGGTCATTCCTAAAGAGAAGGATTGCAAGTCACAAAGAAAAAATGGGGAAAGCTTGAGAAAAAAGATGGCCCACACCCAAAGTCCTCAGAGGGAAGACTCTGAGACCAAAAGAAGGATGATACAGGAAGAGGATTAAGACAGGAAAAGTACTACTAATAAAAATAGGGCAGGGAAGAAACCAGGCTTCGGGTGGCGAGCATGCTGATATAAAGGACATACGTGAAAAATTATCATGTTGTATGTCCGAAAATTATATAATGTTACTAACCAGTTTCACCCCAATACATTTATTCATTTCAAAGAAAGGGCAGGAAAACTAGGATAAACCAAAGAAATGAGTCAAAGCAAAAGAAAGGATGTAAAAAGAAAGAGGAATTAGGAAAAGACGAATGAAACTGAAAACAGAATAACTGAAGGAACTGAGTGCGTTGTTTCTGAATGGCCGAATCGATGGTCTTTAAGCCAAAAGCAAACCGAGGGTTAGCTCAGTAGTTAATTCTGATGATCCTAGAGTGTCTCCTTCTGGAGCTCCTCTGGCAGAAGGAACAACTTCTAGCAGCTTCGGTTGTGAGAGAGAGAAGAGAGTAAGGATGGAAATACGCTATTATTTTTCAAGGTTTCAGAGGTGTGCAGGGTGTGGGAAACAAAAGGTTGGGCTGGAAACTCTCGTGTGGACTTCCGGGGCTTGGGTGTCGAACGGTGTCTCCCTTAGTCACCCACCACACACAGAGATCTAGTCCTTTCTGGGTTGACGGCGTCCACAGAGCAATAGCCTGATAGAGAAGAGGACACCAGGCAGAAGGGCTCCAGTAAGTGCCTGCCAGTCAGGGTGACTGAGCAGGGAATTGGGGAGGTGGGACAGGCAGGAGGCAGCCAGAGGTCTGGTCAGCGCCACTGCCGTTGCCCAGAAACTAGGGCCTCCGGCCAGGCCACGGCCGACACACTCGGCACACCCCGGTGCACACCATGCACACCCAGGTGCCTGGCGTCTGGGGCGCCTGAGCGGAGGGGCTGCAGGAGCAGCTAGGACTTCTTCTGGGAGCACTCAGTGCTTTTCTCACCCTCTTCATTCTTTTCTTTCCTTTTCTCTTATCTGTCATCCTAACACTAAAAATACAAGATTCTTGAGGGCAGGAGTGGCATCATCCTGTGATCCCCCGATCTCCTCGATTTATGACTCGTGTTGTCCTCCGCTGGGGACTCTGCTGCTGGATGAAACCGTAGAGCCCTGGAGGAGAGCCACCTCGGCCCCGCAGGGCAGCCCTGATCTGCCCTGCAGGCCTTTGCCAGGCTGGGTTTCCGTGGTTAACCATCGTATGGAGAGAGCATCTCGTTACCTCTCGTGGCTTGCCTACTTCAGATAGGAAAACTAAGGTTTTGACTTGCGTTGTGCAAAAGTGGTCCTTGGGGAACCAAGTCTCATGAAGAGATTCTTCTCTACACAAAATGTGGCCATTGTGTGCACGTACGTGAGTTTTTCTAACTTGAATTTGGAAGGGTTTCTTTCTGAAGAACAAAAGCATTCATCATAACATCCTATTTCCCTTAGTTGTTTGCTTCATAAATTTATTTTTTAGAAGTGGTGTTTTTCCTTTTTTTTTTTTAGTACATTATAATTGTGAAGTCCAAATTAATATAGCATGGTCTAGATTAATGAGATTTCCCTGTGGCTACACACGTCAGGTTTGCAAAGATTCTGGGCACCGCATGAAACTCCTTTCTCAGCTCCCCAGTTTTTCAACAGGACTGCGTGCTCCGTCAAAACAAATCTCATAATTTCTGGCTCTGTTTTCCGAAATCGGTCCCTAAAGGATTAATAATGACTGAAATAAAAACAGGCTGTTTGAAGAGGAAAAAGTAGCAGGAAGAAAGAGGAAAGATAGTGTCTCCCAGGAGCAGTGCCTTCCAGCAGAACAGTCTCCCCACCCTGCTATCTCCTCACGTCCTGGTCCTTCACCCCCCACCCCCAAGCGTCCCCTCGAAGGGCACAGTTGTGCCGAGCAGCTCCAGTGACACTTGTCACACATCAGTGGGAACACAGACCACTCAGGCCCCTGAGCCACCAGAGCCTTCTTTTTCATCAGCTGGAAGCACAGACCTCACTATCACTCTGAAGGTGTCTCCCAGCGCCGGGCCCCTCGCGGCTACAGCAGACGGGACAAAAGGGTCTCGGAGGGCAGGCGGAGAGGAACTGAAAAGCGGATATAGACGCTGGGCGGTGTGCTCGAGCCGGAGGACGTGCGCAGAACAAGGCTGTATCTCATTTAGCTCGCTGTGTCTACAGAAGTGAGATTGTCACAAACATGGGCGACAGCAGATCTCTCTAGTCTGATGGGATGAGGAGCCAAGCAACTATTGGTATAAAGAAAACAATTGAGCAATTTTGTGTTAGATCCTCGTGTTGGCTAAGCATCCGTCCTGTGACCTTTAACTAGGCGTTTAACTAGGCAACAGCCTTTGTGCAGCCTCAGACCATCCTAACAGCCCTTAAGTGTTTTCTCTCTCCTTTCCTCCCTCTTCCTGTTCTCCTTTCTTTTCTTCCTTTTTTTTTCACTTGCTTTAAAAAAATTTTTAATGGCCCAGGCAACTTTAATGGCTCAAATATTAAAATCGATTTTCTCTGAGCCTTTTGTTATATGAAAATTCAAAACATTCTTGGCACTTATTGGTGCAGAATCAGCTCATCTGAGAAGTGACTTGCCAGTAGTACACAGAGTTGTAATCGTATGCACGTGTAAAGAAATAATCACTTAAAAATTCAGTTCTGTGAGGATCCTGATGACCAGTGTTTTAAACTGTGCATCTGAGAGTTTTGCTATTTCTTCATCACTGAGATCTATGGGCTCTGGGCACAAATTAGACAAATATATGAAGGCGAAACTAATTGAAATGAATGGAATTGCACAGGACACCAATAGCAATGAAAAGGAAACTGGGACTCAAATCAATGGAGTGGACCAGAAGAAAGCAAATAATGGCCAAACAGAAAAGAGTCAAGAAGCAAGAATTCAAAGAAATGAGGAGAGTCTTAGGAACCTCCAGGACATCTTTAAACGCTCCAACATCCGAATTATAGGGGTACCAGAAGGGGGAAAGGCACAGCCACCAGTGGAAAACTTATTTGAACAAATAATAAAGGAGAATTTCCCCAATCTGGCAGAGGAAATAGACTTCCAGGAAATCCAGGAAGCTCAGAGAGTACCAAAGAAGTTGGACCCAAGAAGGAACACACCAAGGCATATCATAATTACATTAGCCAAAATTAAAATGAAGGAGAGAATCCTAGAAGCAGCAAGAGCTAAGGGGACAGTCACCTACAAAGGAGTCCCCATCAGACTGTCAGCAGATTTCTCAAAAGAGACCTTACAGGCAAGAAGGGGCTGGAAAGAGGTATTCCGAGTCATGAAATCCAAAGATCTACAACCAAGATTGCTCTATCCAGCAAAACTTTCATTTAGAATGGAAGGACAGATACGATGCTTCTCAGATAAGATCAAATTCAAGGAGTTCATCATCACCAAGCCCTTATTATATGAAATGTTAAAGGGACTTACCTAAGAAAAAGAAGTTAAAGAAACATGAACAGTGAAAGGACAGCAAACTCACAGTTATTAACAACCACACCTAAAACGAAAGCAAACTAAAAGGACAGCTAGATCAGGAGCGGAAACATAGAAATGAAGATCTCAAGGAGGGTTAGCAACAGGGGAGTGGGAGGAGGAGAAGGGGGGAGAAGGTAAAGAAAATAAGTAGCATAGACAGTAGATAGAAAATAGATGGGGGGGCAAGAATAGCAGGGGAAATATAGAATCTAAAGGACTTGAGACACATGGTCATAAACTAAAGGGGGGGTAATGGTGGGGATGGGGGGGTAGGGTGGAAGGGAATGAAAGGGGGAATAGAATGACTGTAACAGCATAATCAATAAAAAAAAAGAAAGAAACAGAAAAAAATAAAAGTGAAAAAAAATAAAAATAAACATTCAAAACCGTTGTTACCCTGGAGGAAGGGAGGAAGGAGATTGATACCAGAGGGACACATATAGGGGATGTTAAGGAACTCTCTAGTGACTTATTATGCTATGGAAGTAGATACAAGAAAATGTTACCATTGGATAAGGTTGGGCAGAGGATACAAATTTATTCTTTCAGTTATTGTCAATAGCCATTCCAAGGTAGCATAGACGGGTATAATTTGCCAAAAATGTTCCAGAAGATTAAAAAAAATCATACTGAGCTGTTAAAAGATAAGCTGAGACATATTAAAGTTTTAAGAGTTTTAAGGCAATACCAAACCGGGGAAGTGAGGAGCACTCCTCCGGGGAAGGACTTCATTACAGAGAAAAGGCAGAAGCAAAGTTAGGAAATTATTGACAGGCTATCACTTAAAGCCTCATCGGCCGTGTGTGATTGGTTGTCCTTATGTGTCCATTTCATGGTCTTGAGGAATTTGGGGCTTAGATTGTGGTCGGCTTGTTCAGTGAGCCACCGCAGCCTGAGCGCCCTAGTGCATTCCCCTCCCCCCCCCACATTTGATTAAAGCAACACGCTCACCGGAGCCAGCCCGTCCCTCATCACCTCACCAGCACAGGTGTCGCCGAGAATTGTAGGTCATGAAAACCATTTGGCATTTTCCTCCAATTTTGATCAATAAGTAGCTCAATGAGTGGGATAGGTATATGTTTACTCACGAGATGAGTGGCTTTCAGAGGCTGGAAAACCCTAAAGACACAGCCTCAGTTCCAGGGGTCGACAGTCACTCATAAAACATAGTTCACCTCTGTGTCACTGAGATAAAAAAATGTCCGTGGGAGGCAGTTCCTGTTCTCCAGGATTTTGCAATCTAGGAAGGTCTGTGACACCGGGACCCGAAGTGTTTGTGTTTTTATAGAAATTACAGAAGGCTGCCCGTCTCAGTTAGTCTCAAGACTGAATTCTAGAGCATTTAAAAGTGGGCGTGGCTATTGTCCATGCCCTGCCATGAATTTACTCTGCGGGTGTATTTGCATATGTGTGAAATGATTTATGCGTAAGCTTTGTCAGAACAAAAGACTTTGTCTGTCGGCACCAAATATCCATTGATGTACGTGGGGTTAAACAGATTAGGTTACACCAAGCAACAGGATTCTCTGCAGCCCGGAGAACCCAGCAGCCCAGCTGCCGTAAATGCACAGAACCCCAGACGCATGGCGAAGTGAAATAAAGTTAGACGGGCAAACAGCTACAGTGCACCAGGGTGCAGAGGAAAATCACTGCGCTCTATCGCTTGTGGGAGGAAGTAAAGGGTGTTACACATATGTGTGCATACACGCATAGACTGTCTCTGTAACGGTACAAAGAAGAACTAGAAGTAGGAGGGAGACAACTGGGCAGTGAGAACAGGAGGGGCCGTGTGCCCCGTCTGCCTTTTGTGTGGTATTCTCGGAGCATATGTTACATGCTCAGGACATGAAGTTACATGACAACAGAAAGATGTGAAAAATAAATTGGAAACAATAGGAGAAAAGAGCATTGGAGAGAGAGAATTGAAAACAAAGATAAACTCTTTTCCTCCCTCTTGTTTTTCTTTTGTGATATACTTGTATTTTGAGAATTTCTAAAACATTTGAAAAACAAACCTCAGCATCCTTGCATTTAGAAAAGGGGTGGATTGGCGAGAAGGTTTGGAGGGAATAAGAAGCTGACACACTAGGTTCAGAGTGTTCTGGAGAGTACTAGCCATGGTCATCATGAGAGGTTTCAAGGCCAAGTGGAGGGCCTTCACATCCCTCCAGGCCCTCGCACAGCAGACCTTGAGCGCTCCAAAGCAGCGACTGGATTGGTGCAGTGGAGACCCAGTGCTGGGCTGATGAGGGCGGCGATGGCGGCCATCGCGGGTACAGTGTTGGGGACGGAATCCAGTTGCCATGGATTCATATTCCAAGGGCACAAGTTACAGTATTTTTCCATCACCATTATCTGGTGCTAGAGTTCCACTGGTACCTGCTTTAAAACCTAAACGAACCGTTTCTAGGGAGCAGAGCCATTGTGTACGTGTAAATAGTCTGCTTAACGGGCGTTGGGTGCGGAACAGCTCACTTTTTCAGGAGGCTGAGCACCCTTTATGCATTTACCGTATGTATCGGTTATCCTGACTTGATTTAATAACCTTTTCTGCACACTGGGATAACTCATGCCAAGGCAACTTCTACATTATTACAGTGTGGAAGTTTGACCATCAGAAGGTGTTAGGATTTATGGGATTTCTTTCCCTTGAGGAAAGCTGCAGAGGAGGAGTTTTAGTTTAGTTTCCAGTGTGACTCCAGGAGACCATAGCAGATTCCTCTTCTCGGAGGTGACTCTGCGGTCTACATTCACATACCCACACGTTAATACACGCGAACATCTCCATTCTGATTATGGCCCTGTCAGCACTGTAGAGTGGAACGTCCAGTCCCTAGAGGTGCTGCCTGCCACAGTGGGTAAGGCTCATGTCTCCCTGTGTGGTGTTTTTCTTACTATCGAACGGAATTCCCATGGCTCCGAACCGAAATGGGAATGTGACCGTCTGCAAATGGGCGGGCAGGCTGTGGAGAGGGTCTCCCTGTCTCTCTGAGACCTCCTACGGGACCTTCTCTTTTCCTGAAGCGTAGCTCTGGAAATTTTAAAGTACAAAAATTGAAAGGAAATAGCCCAGTGAAAATGAGTTATTGTTTAACAAAGGGCAGGCAACGGTTTCGACGGGCATCTGGAAGTGGCCGCTGGGAACGAGAAAGTCACCCGTGTGCTGACACCAGTGTGTGTCCACACTCACCCACTTTGTGTTGGTGCCGTTGTGAGTCCCGGCAGCTTCACCCTAACCTCCTTTGTCCAGTGCATTCACACACCCTCTTAATTCCTCCGAGGAAGACAGGGGTGGGGCTCACAGAGCTGCTGAGAGCCCGTACTCGCCTCCAGGTCCTGTTGGCGCTCGCACCTTCTGCTCCCACCTCCCGGAGGTCCCTCTCTAGCTCAAGGCTCTTCTTGTGAAGCTGTATTTCTCAGCCGTTAAAAACCCACAGTGCTTCCTGACCCACACAGCCATCTTGCAGTGTCTTGTGACGTTATTGAAAATGTCAGAACAAACGAAACCAGAATGATGCCTGAACCACTCGATACTCAGTATAATATTGAGGATTCTTTTCTAAACCACACCGACACCACCACCTGGGAAATGTTGCTGCCTCGGGGAGGGAGGGAGGAGGAAGAAGAGGATGAAAAGTCCCCTCCACCGAGTTGGTGCCACGGTGTCATGGGCAGGGCTAGCAGCTCCATGGGCAAGACCAGACAACCTTGACCTTTTTCACGGGCGCAGGCGGGTCTTGCTGCTCAGGGCACAGGGCTGGACTGGCGGGGTGAGCTCAGGATTCGCCCCTTCTCCCGCTGACTGGGTGTCTTTGTTTTCCCCCTTCCGCCTCCTCCTCCAGAGCATCGTGTGCACTGGGCGGCGTCAGTGGCACCCCGACCCCGTCCTGGTCCACTGCATCCAGTCGTGCGAGGTAAGTCACCTCCGCTTCCCCAGACCCGGGCCAGACTCCTCTGTCCCGCTCACGGGGCCGCGAGGCTTTCTGATTCCAGATGCTTCCTTTCTCCACTCCCTTGCCTTTTGTTTCACTGCTTCACTTTAGCTCCACGGTCCCACAGTTACAGATACTAGGGTTTCTGATTTTGCTTTCCTTTAGGCGAGATTCCAGGGTTTCATTTTCAATGACTTAGGAAGAAGTAAGGTAAAAGCACACCAGGATTATTTGTGGCTCCGGCATTCTCTAACGGGCCCTGTTTGCGCCGAGTCAGATCGGGGCTTTGCAGACCAAGCGGCTCACAGGCAGGTTTAGTTGGCCAACGCGGTGTCTAAAAACAATTTTGTTTTGATTGCTCATATTTAAAAAGTGGGACTTTTTCACATAAAATCCGTATGTGTATATAAAACATTTCACACACCCGTACACACATACTCCAAGTAAAAATAAATATAAAACACTTTGTGTGAAGATATTTCTCTTGGAAAACAAGACTGTTTGGCAACCATAGAAGTGGTTAGCTGGATCTGAGTAGCTGCTACAGCCCCAAAAGGACAGCTGTTCTTCAGGTCGCATGGTCCTCCCCTCTCACTGGGGCCCCTTGCCTGGTGGCCCCCCTCATTTACATCGGCCACCTGGGTCAGTTAGGCATCTCTGTTCGACCCCTGCAGTCCACTGTTGGGTAACTGAGTCGAGACCTTTACCACCTCAAGGAATCCTGTCCGCTTCTTCACATGGGGACATTCCCTCCCGGGGACACGGAGGGCACCGTGGCTTCCTGAGCCAGATGAACAGGGGTTACTGCAAGGAAGAGTCCTGAGTGAGGCAGGCTCATCCCGATGGATGACTCGAGAGTCCTGACCCTGAGAGCAGGGGGTCGCTGTGCACGCGGACCCACGAAGTCTCTCACCCTGGGTACAGCCAGTGACAGACACTCCAGTGTCCGTCACATTGGGTTTTGTCGTCCATCTCTCTCACCTGAAGTAAGTAAGGAAGCCACTTCGCGGCAATGCCTGGCTCATCCCAGCGACTGCCGGGTGCTGGAGAGAGCCGTTCAATGGCCATTGATTTCCAGCCCCCTGCCCCCTGCCCCCATGCACCCCGCACACGGGTGAGTCCGTTTGTCCCTCTGTGTCTCCGTTTCTCTTGGTGCAATTCCGGGAAACTGGGATCTCTGTGAGGCCATAGAAGGGGGAGAGGTGGCATTTCCCACAAAGGGAAACGGGACCCATAAACCAGCCTCGTGAGAGGGCACCAGGCAGAAGGGCGAGCGTGGCGTGTTCTCCGTGGTGGCCTGGGCCAACAGAACAGCTGGTCTTCTGCCATGAGTAGAAAAACAGATGGCAGTGGGGTGGGGAGGACAGGGCTGACTCACAGGCCGGGCGGGGGTGAGCAGCGGGAAGCGGGGGCCAGGGAAAGCGGGAGATACAGAGATGGACGACTGGGGGACTGGGAAGGGATCGGAGCGTCCTGAGGATTCCCCTCTGCTGCTCCAGTGCGTGAGCACGGGAGGGAGGGCGGGTAACGGAGCTTGCAGCTGACCGGTGTTTCCCAGAAGGTTAAACAGAAAGCCTTCCCTGTTTCTCCTCCCCGCCTCACTGCGCCCCAGCCCATCCTCTGGGTTCGTATTCCAGAGCTTCCTAGGCTTCCCTGAGTCCCTCTGCCGATGTGACAAGGAGTGAGACTCCATCCCCTCTTGCGACTCCCGTGCCAGCCTGTCACCACACACTGCTGAGCCTTGACCGCTCGGCCGCCCTTGGTACTCTCGCTTCACTGGTTCTGAGTGTGGTCCCCGGACCAGCACAGTTGGCGTCACCAAGGAGCCTGCTAGAAGTGCCATGTCGTCAGGCCTCGCCTCGGACCTACTGAATCAGAGCCTGCGGGTGTGGGGCCCTGCGCTCTGTGTTTCGACAAGGCCCCAGGTGACGCTTAAGATCGCTTGGGTCAGAGAACCACAAGTCCCATCACTGAGGGAGCAGACAAGAAGGTTCCCAGCCTGTACAGAGTCCCTGATATGAAGCTTTCTTCCTCCAGGAAGAGTTCTGGTCAACATTCTTCACGTTCTGCTTTTTCTGCAACATTTCCTGACACTCTCTGGGTCAGTCTAGATTTGAAAGAACAAAATTCTGCTTCTGGCCTCCTAGAAAAGGCTAGGAGGAGAAAAACATCACTTGGCAAAGTGGGAGAAAGAAGGAAAGAAAAAAGACTCACTGATCACAGGAAAGGAAAGGATAATGGATAAGGGAGGGTTAGGAGGAGCAATGCGAGGAAATAAGGAAGGAGAAAGGCGGAGAGGGGAGGGCGAGAAGGACGAGGAACTCGGGGCGGAAGCCGGCGTGTTCCAGGGGCAGCTGGGCAGGCACTCGGTTCTTTCCTGGAAAAAGTCAGCGAAATGTGTTGGGGGAACCGGAAAGCGTCAAGGGCGGCTGGAGGGAAGACAGACCCAGAGGCGAGATAAACCGAACGGGGCCAGGAGGGAGACCGGAGATTGTATAAAGTGCAGCTTTGCACAGAAATTGAGCTCAAAGTAGACAGGTTGTGCCCTGGTATCTAAAAAGGGCTTCCTATGTTTGCTTTCCAATACTGACTCCAGTCCTGAGACGTGCCCCTTAGACACACCGCCCGTGAGAGAGCGGAGCCTCCCCTTTATTTCTCTCAGTGAGGCCAAGAGAGCGACTCCCCCCGCTCACTTCCTGTCACCTTTTTGTGCCTTTTTCTATGTCCCTTGGCCACAGAGATTTCACCTTCAGTCCCCACTGCTCTGTGCCTCTCTCATTCTCTAGACAATGGCTCTGAGGCTTTCTTTTCTTTAAAAAGGTGCGTGTAGGTGATCCCGTCCGCTCATTGTCACGTGTGTCCGCATTGTCTCAGCAAGCACGTGTACTACATGTCTGCGACCCGAAATTGTTCCCACCATAATCCTGATTTTTCCGTCTCTTCTCGTGTCTGGCCTTCTTGACCCGAACACTGCTTGTATTTGCCGGGGTTTCTGTAAGTTGCAGATGGGCAGAGATGGCGACTCGGTTGGTAGCAAGGCTTGGGAGCCCAGCAAGTGGAGATTCAAGTCCTAGGTCAGCCGAGTGGTGTGAGCCTCCGTGTCTTCATCCGCGTTGGGAGGTGGGGGCGGCGAAGCTGTTTCAAGGAGTTGTGACAAGGGACTCGTTCACGCGATGATGCATTTAAAGCATTTAAGGGTCCTGCCATGTCTGGTCCACAGCGGATGCTTGTCCCGTGGCGGCGTTTGTTGTAAACGGAGCAAGAGCAGCAGAAAGCAGGGCACAGCTGCCGGTGTGGCTGTAGCGGGACCAGGCACAAACTCTGAGGACAGGAAAGAGAAGAACAGGAGGAGAGAGGGGGATGGGCTGCTCCTGGGGGCTCCCTGGGAGATCCGTAACTCACAGAGCACATGGAGCCGGCTGCTCATGCAGCCAGTCACTGCGTCCCCTGGTCACCAGCTGACTGGACGGGCAGCTCTGCTCAACCTGGTTGGGGACCCCGACGTTTCTCACCTGGGTTATCTCAGTGGTTTCCCAATTGTTCTTTCTTTTCCCAGACCTGTTCCCACTGAAATTATAGACAGGTATACAAACATCTGTGTAACTGTGTAGAAAACAAATATTTATTGCCAAATGCTTGTTCAATAAAGTGCACTCTTTCCAGTGTGGAGAGGGAGAGGGAGGGGGAGGAAGAGGGAGCGAGGAATGGGGGAGAGAGACTTCTCGTTTTGTGGGGTAAGATTTGCAGGGAGTATCCATACCATCATGAATACACTGGCACGTTCAGGTCATGTGCGTCTTACCCTCTCACCTTCCTTTTTCCTTCCTTCCTTCCTTCCCACCTTCCTTCCTTTTTCAGGTCACATGTATTAGTTTTTCCAAAGACCGCCATGCTAGGTCCCACTTAAACAGAGAACGTCTTATTCTCTAGGGAAGACAGCTAAGGATAAAGAACACACTTACAGCCTCCTTTGGGTCAGAAACGATTCCTTTCCTTCTCGAAGGATGATTGAAATGGAAAGAGGGAGAGGGGGAGACCTGCATGTTGACTCTGGTTTTCTCTTGCAAGTTTTTCCCAGGAGCCTGATTCTCTTGTCGGCCGTTCGCTGGCTGGTACTTGGACTGTCTCTTTTTCCTAAAAGACAGTTGTGGAGGACAGAGGCAGAGTGTCAGGAGAATTAGGTTGAAGTTCTGACTTCACATTTGGTAGCTGTGTGTAGTATCTGACTGGCTTTCTCCCAGAACGCCTGTGAGAGCAAGTGAAACAGCCGATGTTAAGCTGTCGTATAAATTGCTGAATAATATAGCATATCAGTAGTGACCTCGCTGAAGGAATAATATAAGTAACCATAGGGACACGGTCTTATCGAACAAACTAAAGATTCAAGAAAGAGTCTGCTGATGTCCAGTTTGTATCTTTATGACCGTTCATTGTTTATACTGCCGGAAGCTGTGGTTAATTAGTGTTCTCAAGGCCCCCAGTAAAAGTTAGAAATCATCTTAAGATTTTTTTCGGGGGCAGAAGGCTCTCTGAGCATTACCTGACATTTCTCCTACAGGCTCTCATACGTACCCTTGTAAATGTCTGTTAACATCACTTGTCACGTTATTTCCGCATTATCTGTTAGGTCCATCCTTGGAACGGGAAGGACGGCTTGCAGGTTCCATCCTGCGAACTCCCAAGGGGTGGGGTGTGTTTTGTTTACTTTTTTACCCCTTCGAAAAACTCAGGCCCAATTCTTCAGTGAGACCTGCGTCTGGGCCTCATAGGCAGGGACAGAGAATTGAAGGTAGAACTTTGACTGAAACTGGGAAGGATTGGAGCAGTCTTCTGGGAAGTCGTGTGAAAAGTCAGGTCGGGAAGTAGAGGCAGGGGAGGCACAGGAGAAGCAGAGAACGGAGAGCGACCGCTGCAGCGAGGGCGGCCCGCAGTGGCCGGCAGAAAGGCGTCCGGGGCCGGAGTCGGCCGTGAACCTCGGAGCC